CCTGGGTTCAGGCAATTCTCCTGCCTCAGCCTCCTGAGTAGCTGGGATTACAGGCACGCGCCACCATGCCCAGCTAATGTTTTGTATTTTTAGTAGAGACGGGGTTTCACCGTGTTGACCAGGATGGTCTCGATCTCTTGACCTCGTGATCCACCCGCCTCGGCCTCCCAAAGTGCTGGGATTATAGGCGTGAGCCACCGCGCCCGGCCCAGCCAAGGATTTTTTAAATGTTAATACTAAGTGCTGCTATGTCATAAGACAGATACATTAATATCAGGGTGATGGCATGTAATTGGCACAACCTTTCTGAACGAATTTTGGCAATATATATCAAGATACTTAAAAATATTTTGATCCTCTGACCCAGTAATTCCACCTCCAGAAAAAATTGTAAGGAAATAATCCAAGCCAGGCATGGTGGCATGCGACTATAGTCCCAGCTACTTGGGAGGCTGAGCCAGGAGGATCATTGGAGCCCAGGAGTTCAAGGCCATAATGTGCTATGACTTCACCTGTGAATAGCCACTGCACTCTGCCTGGACAACAGACTAATACCCAATTTCAAATAAAGAAGGAAAGAATGTAAGCCAAAATGTTGACAGATTTATGCATAAAGATTTTCATCATAGTATTTTTATAATAGCAAAAATTAGAAACAATCTGTACATATAAGGATAAGAGTTTGGTAAAATAGGCCAAACCTTGAGTGGGATGGTCCATGCCTATAATCTCAGCACTTTGGGAGACCCAGGTAGAGGAACACTTGAGCCCAGGAGTTAGAGACCAGCCTAGGCAATATGGCAAAACCCCATCTCCGTTAAAAAATACAAAAATTAGCTGGCAGTGATGGTGTGTGCCTATAGTCCCAACTACTCAGGAAGATCACTTGAGCCCAGGAAGCAGAGGTTGCAGTGGGCTGAGATCATGCCACTGTACTCTAGTCTGGGTGACAGAGTGAGACTCCTTAAATAAATAAATTAATTTAATTAAATAAAGCAAGATACAAAACTCTCTATGTTGTATAATATTAATCATGTAAAATAAAACCACATATACCCCCAAATTTAAGAAAGCGTGATAACTCTGATTTCCAAAGATAAAAAATGAGAGCAGTGTTTATTTATTTTTTTTTTTCCAAGATAGACTCTTGTTCTGTCGCCGAGGCTAGAGTACAATGGTGGAATCTCAACTTCTGCAACCTCTGCCTCCCGGGTTAAAGCAATTCTCCTGCCTTGGCCTCCTGAGTAGCTGGGATTACAGGCACGTGCCACAGTGCCCAGCTAATTTTTGTATTTTTGGTAGAGACGGGGTTTCACCACATTGGCCAAGATGGTCTCAAACTCCTGACCTGATGATCCTCCCACCTCGGCCTCGCAAAGTGCTGGAATTACAGGCGTGAGCGACTGCATCCGGCCAAGCAGTGTTTAGTGTGTGTGTGTGTGACAGAGTTTTGTTCTTGTTGCCCAGGCTGGAGTGCGATGGCACAATTTCAGTTCACTGCAACTTCCATCTCCCAGGTTCAAGTGATTCTCCTGCCTCAGCCTCTGGAATAGCTGGGATTACAGGCGCTCACCACCATGCCTGGCTAATATTTTGTGTTTTTACCAGAGACGGGGTTACATCATGTTAGTCAGGCTGGTCTTGAACTCCTGACCACAGGTGATCCACCCACCTCGGCCTTCCAAAGTGCTGGGATTACAGGCATGAGCCACCATGCCTGGCTGCAGTGTTTATTTCTTAAAGGATGCTTTATATATTTTTTAATTGTTATTTTCCTGTATTTTTCAAGTTTTCTACAATGAACAAACATTACTTAAACATTATTTTGGGAGTCACCCATTCTTACCTATGAAGAATATAGCCACCCCTTTATACCACATCAGGCTGCTTCAGCCTTTTGGACACCTGAGGATAAATGCTTGATGGGTGACAGATGAAGGTTAGTGACATTTCTTTTATGTCTTATAACCTTCCCTCAATTATCCACGGAAAGTTTTTCTCATAATTGCCAGTCCTTCTTTAGACAGAATCTGTCACTCCATTACATGATGCTTTTTTTAAAGTAAAATAAAACCTGAGAACAGAACAGAAACTTGTGCTGACCATGATATGAAAATGAACAGACAACTGGGTTTCCAGCTGCCGGTGAAGTACCAGTGCAAAAGGGACGCCCCAGCTGACCAATGCCAGAGACTGAGGTAGAAGTGCCCCCATTTCAGGCTTGCCTGTGGGAGCTGCCTGTAGGAATTCCAGCCTGCTACTTTTTGAGGTCCAAGGACACATTCTGCCTAGAGGCCCTTCAGATAAAAAGGTCTCCGTCACTGCAGGCAACAGGTGATTGTCAATGATTGGTAGCTGGAGAAACAGAAAACAAGATGATGCTTCCAGGACAAATGGTACCACCTCCAGGAAGCTTTCCCTGTCTCCTTCCTGATCCCCACTACTCCAGATGGCATTCCTCCCCCAAGGAACCATGGCCCTGGTGCGTTCCCTGCCCTCTTAGAGCAGATGTCACCATTGATGCTGTGGTAGCTGGTACTGTGAGAAGACATCACACAGACCTTCATTTACCTCCTAGCTCTGCCACTCAATTCCTGAGCCTCAGTTTCCTCAGCTGTGAAATGGAGAGAGTAATCTCCACAGCACAGAGCATTGTCCCCCTCCTTGTATTCTCTGGAAACAGTCTGACAACCCAGTCCTTGGGCTCATATAACATGATTGTGCACAGAGAAACTGCCTGGCTGACCAGACCACAATGGGAGACTCACTAGGCCCAGCTCGGTGGTACCAGTGGCACCCCCTACCTCTATGGCCTTGCCAGTCAGACCTCTAATGAGCTACAGCCAGGGAACAAACAACCAGTAGTGACTAATATCTCTCACATCTTCTGGAGAGCAGTTAACTGGTGGGATTACAGGACCCCAATTACTGAGGATCTCTCTAGGGGTGTGGTCACAGTCATGTTCAGAACTGAACTCAGCCTCCTCCCAAATACGTTATTCTTCCTGCTCCCTGTCTCAGTGAATAGGACTACCCAGAACCCAAGCTGGAAATCAGGGTATCATCCTCACACCTCCCTCTCAGTTATGTTTCCCATTCAATTCATCACCAAATCCTGTCACTTGTACCTCTCAAGTACATCCATTTCTTTCCATCCCAGGGCCAACACTGTGGTTCATGCCACTATCCCCCTCTCCTAAGGCATTGTCACAGTCTTCTCTTCACAGGTCTCCTTGACTCCCCACTGCCCCACAGGGAGCCTATCTCCTGCTTATGCTGAAAACCCCTCAAGGGCTCTCAGGATAAAAATTAGCCTCAATAACTCCAAGCCCCCGGCCTTACCCCAGTCTGGTCCCTGCTTCCTTTCTAACCTCATCTCTTTCTACTTCCTGTCTTACACCTGTAGTTTTCCCAAATTTTCTGTCCTGGCTCTTACCTACCTGATTTTGCTTATGACAGATTTTCCTCTGTCATTAACATCCTTCTCTTCCTCCCCTCCTCCCCCATCCCTTTTTTCGAGATGGGGATCTCATTGCGTGTTCCAGGCTGGAGTGCAGTGGCATGATCATAGCTCATTGCAACCGCAAACTCCTGGGCTCACAGACTCCTCCTGCCTGAGCCTCCCAAGTAGCTGGGACTATAGATGCATCACCACACCCGACAAAGTTTTCTGTTTTTTTTTTAGAGACAGGATCTCACTATATTGCCAGACAGATCTCAAGCAATCTTCCCATCTCAGCCTTCCAAGTAACTTCCTCCCTTATTTTCCCCCAGACCAGCTCCTTCTCATATTTTGAGATTTAGCTCAGATTTCTACTCTTCCAGAAGACTTTTTGCTCCCCAGTTCCCTGTACAAACCCCCAAACTAGGCTAAGTGTTCTTCTTATTGCCGCCATTTAGGGAGCACTATCCAAACACCTCTGACACCTTAACTCAATCCTGACAACATCTACGCATTCCTGTCATTATTATTTATTTATTTTTGAGATGCAGTTTCGCTTTTGTTGTCGAGGCTGGAGTGCAATGGCCCGATCTTGGCTCACCACAACCTCTGCCTCCACCTACCGGGTTGAAGTGATTTTTCTGCCTCAGCCTCCCTAGTAGCTGGGACCACAGGCATGCGCCACCACGCCAGCTAATTTTGTATTTTTAGTAGAGATAGGGTTTCCCCATGTTGGTCAGGCTTCTGACCTCAGGTGATCTGCCCACCTCGGCCTCCCAAAGTGCTGGGACTACAGGTGTGAGCCACCACACCTGGCCCCTATTACTCTTATTTTACAGATAAGAAAACTGAGGCTTGAAGAAGTTGAAGTAAATTTTCCAGGGCCAAACAGTAAGTTGCTCAGCAGTGCTGAAACCCAGGTCTATTTATTTGTTTATTTTTTATTTACAGAGCTGCATTGTCCTTTTATTTTTATAAAGATACCAAGAAAAAATAAGACGCACTCTTTTTTTTTTTTCTTTTTTGGTCAATTTGGTGAACAGACTTTGGTATGCACAGGCATACCAAATTGAATGGCATTCAAATTATTGAATGCCATTCAATAATGCCATCTGTCTATTCCTATGCATATAAGTTTGTTTTTGTTTTTTGTTTTCTTTGAGATGGAGTCTCCCACTGTCACCCAGGCTGGAGTGCAGTGGTTCGATCTTGGTTCACTGCAACCTCCGCCTCACAGGTTCAAGTGATTCTCCTGCCTCAGCCTCCCGAATAACTGGAATTACAAGCGTCCACCACCAGGCCTGGCTAATTTTTATTTTTATCTTTATTTTTTAGTAGAGACGAGGTTTCACCATTTTGGCAAGGCTGCTCTTGAACCTCGAACTCCTGACCTCGTGATTAGCCCACCTTGGCCTCCCAAAGTGCTGGGATTACAGGCATGAGCCACCATGCCCGGCTTTTTTTTTTTTAAACAGCGTCTCACTCTTTTTTTTTTTTTTTTTTTTTTTTTTTTTTTTTTTTTTTTTTTTTTTTTTTTTGAGACGGAGTTTCACTCATGTTACCCAGGCTGGAGTGCAATGGCGCGATCTCGGCTCACCGCAACCTCCGCCCCCTGGGTTCAGGCAATTCTCCTGCCTCAGCCTCCTGAGTAGCTGGGATTACAGGCACGCGCCACCATGCCCAGCTGATTTTTTTGTATTTTTAGTAGAGACGGGGTTTCACCATGTTGGCCAGGATGGTCTCGATCTCTTGACCTTGTGATCCACCCGCCTCGGCCTCCCAAAGTGCTGGGATTACAGGCTTGAGCCACCGCACCCGGCCAACAGCGTCTCACTCTTGTCACCCAGGCTGGAGTGTAGTGGCATTATCTGTGCTCACGGCAACCTCAGCCTCCCAGGTTCAAACGATTCTTGTACTTCGGCCACCCGAGTAGTTGGGATTACAGGTGTGTGCCACCAAGCGCAACTAATTTGTGCATTTTTAGTAAAGACGGGGTTTCACCATGTTGGCCAGGCTGGTCTCTAACTCCTGGCCTCAAGTGATCTGCCCGCCTCTGGTCATAGAAGCTTTTTACACCACAAACTGCAGTTCTCTTTCCTGAAGCTGGAGCCTCTGAAAGTACACAGCACACCCCTAGTTCGGCATGCCCTACCCCCACCCCTCCTTCTGGTCCCCAGAAGCCTCAGGCTCTCAGGCCCTTGAGTAGTAACTGCTAGTGAGGCTGCTTGGCTTCCTTGCGAGGGGGTCCCTCGAACGTGAGAACAGTGATCAGTTGAATTCGCTCTTGGCCCCAAGCAAGACAATGGGGCCGCTTTCATTGGACGTGGATTTCGCATCCTCCACCCCACGCCCCCAACCTGAAACATCCTCGCCAGCCCCAAACCTTCAGATTTCTTCTACCAAAACCTCAGGCTCAGACCTCGTGATCCTCCTGTTTAAGAAGCTTCCCAACCTCCCCACTTCTAGCTGGGTTCAACGAGGCTCAGGAGGTCCTTCAGGATTTTGGCTTCCTTCTGCCCACTAGGCTCCCGGCGCGGTTAGTTATAGCCCCACTCCGCGACTCCCCGCTTAGCTCCCACCCGCGCGCCCAGGACCCGAGCTCCAGGATCCTAGCGGGGAAGGCACCCCCAGTTCCCGGCCCTGGTGCCCTTGGGTCAGGGCCAGGAGAGGCACTTCCAGCCTAGCGCTGGCGCCGGGTGCGCCTCGCTTTACGGAAAGAACGCCCCTCAAATAAATCCGGAGCGGATTTGCATCACAGCAGCCGCGGGAAGGCTAGCTGTTGCCAAAGCTCCGAATCTCTGGATTCCCCCATCCCTTCCTGGTCCAGAGTAGAGAGTGTGGGGGGAGGGGAAATGGGGCGGTGCGGAGGAAGCTACTGGAAGGAGAGGGTGTGCGCCCTGGCCTTGAAACCTGGGTGGAGAGGCAGCTAGCAGGGTGAGGAGCAACCTATTCCTCCAGGCCAGATCTCAAGGTGGGCCTGGGTTCTCGGTGAGGGAGATAAAGACAAAGGCTTTGTGTGTATGTGTGTGTCTTGTGTTAAGGGAAATTGCCAGCCTGGCGGTAGTGAGTCTAACAGCCCCCACCTCTACTGCTAAGAATCTCCCATCTGGCCGGGCGCCATGGCGGCTGACGCTTGTAATCCCAGCACTTTGGGAGGCCGAGGCGGGTGGATCACGAGGTCAGGAGTTGGAGACCAGCCCGGCCAACACAGTGAAACTCCGTCTCTACTAAACATACAAAAATTAGCTGGGCGTGGTGGCGGCACCCTTAATCCCAGCTAGTCGGTAGGCTGAGGCAGGAGAATCGCTTGAACTCCGGAGGCAGAGGTTGCAGTGAGCCGAGATCACACCACTGCACTCCAGCTTAAGCAATAGAGCTAGACTCCGTCTCAAAAAAAAAAAAAAAGAATATCCCAGCTGTAGTTTCATCAGGTCCCCCTACCAGCTGCCTCTGGGGTCCTCATATCCCTGAGGCCTGCACCTTGGTGACTACTGTGTGCTCATAGAGCACAGGCATCCTGACCTCAAGTCCTGGCCCTGGCTATATTATTGCCCTTCAGTCATCTCACATGGCCAATCAGTGCCTGCTCTGTGCTTCCACTCAGGCCATTTCTCAATAGGAAAATTCTTTCCCCTTTGCATTAGCTAAAATTTTGCCCGTTCTTTAAGCCCACTTTAAAAGCTACCTATAGCTGGGTGCAGTGACTCACACCTGTAATCCCAGCACTTTGGGAGGCTGAGGCCAGCAGATACTTGAAGTCAGGAGTTTGAGACCAGCCTGGCCAACATGGTGAAACCCCGTCTCTACTAAAATACAAAAATTAACTGGGTGTGGTGGCATACGCTTGTAATCTCAGCTACTTGGGAGGCTGAGGCATGTGAATTGCTTGGACCTGGGAGGTGGAGGTTGCAGTGAGCTGAGGTCACACCACTTGCACTCCAGTGTGGGCAACAAAAAGAGACTCTGTCTCAAAAAATAGATTAATTAATTAATTAAAATAAAAACTATGGTACCTTCTGTGAAGCCTCTAAAAGGTCTGTGTCCGTAATTCTCTAATCTCTTCGTGTACAAAGTTCGAGCCACATTTTTAGCTCTAAAATTTTTCTTGGTGTGTCCACTAAGTCTGTTTTCTCCATTAGGCTGCAAGCTTTCAAGAACAAGTACAAGGACTGATTCAATTCTGTGTCCTCAGAGCCAAGGGAAGGGTTGGGGACAGCAGCAGCTGTGTGACCATTGGGAGGGCCTGTTTTCTCTCTGGATCTCAGAGTCCCTCTTCACCCTTACAGTGAGGGATCTGAATGAGATGACCCCCAAGGCTGTCTCCAGCCCTGACCCTATGAGCCAGTGGCCCTATGAACCAGTGGCTGGATTGCCCAGCCTCTTATCATAATCCAACCTTGGGCAGGGCAGGGCCAGGCTGGAATCAGGGGATCTGAAATCCTCCTACCTCCTTTGGATCAGTTAACTGAGGCAATTGTGCAATATTGCTGGGAACCTCAAGGCAGTGAATCTGGTGTCAACACATCATGATGCTATCCCAGCTGGAAAGTCCCTCTGGCCCTGGCTCTGGTGGCCTGACAACCAGCTTCAGCTGGGGATAGTGGGGAGGGGGAACCAGGCCATCCCAGAGAGTAAAGAAGCCCTCTTTCCACCCCTTTCTCAACACATACACACTATCTCCCGGAACAGTGGCATAGCCCCTCAACTCTCTGAAGGCTAGTTCAGGACCACCCCACTCTCCTCTCCAACCTCCTCACCCCCAGTCCAGCCCAGCTATCTCCAATCTGAGCTGAGACTACCCGGAGTTCCCAAATAGAAGGAAACTTGGTTCAGCATTTTTCACAGCACAAGAAGCTGTCAGCCCCTATTGCACACTTATAAATGGAACTCACTGTCTCTCAGGGCTGCATGGACCGCTTCTTCCTGAAAGTCTCATCCATGGACTCACATTTTACCTATTGAAGCCTCATTGAGTAATGCTAATCTGAAACCACAACTCTCAGACTTAGTTGAGATTCCAGTTCTGTTACTCCCTAGCTAGTTAAGGCATCTTACCTACCCTCCCTGGATCTCTGTTCCTTCATCTATAAAATGGAAACAATGATTTATACACACAGAGTGGTGGTTGTGGGCATAAGATTTTTGAAAACACCCGTTATAGGCATTGACACATTTAGAATGTCAAATGTGGGCATTTTTTTTTTTTTGAGACGGAGTCTTGCTCTGTCGCCAGGCTGGAGTGCAGTGGAACGATCTCGGTTCACTGCAACTTCCGCCTCCCAGGTTCGAGTGATTGTCCTACCTCAGCCTCCCAAGTAGCTGGGATTACAAATGCGTGCCAGCACTCCCAGCTAATTTTTGTATTTTTAGTGGAGACAGGGTTTCACCATGTGTGGCAAAGATGGTCTCAATCTCCTGAACTTGTGATCCACCCACCTTGGCCTCCCAAAGTGTTGGGATTACAGGCATAAGCCACCACGTCCAGCCCAAATGTGAGCATTATTTCTATTACCTATTCCCTGCATTCTCCCTTGAAGTTGCCTAATACTTTTTCTGGAAGCTGGGAATGGAGATTCTGAAGCTAAATCTTCCCTGGACACAAGCAGGAATATACAATTCTACAAGCTGCACTTAAACCCAGTTATAGACTTCAAAAGACAGCAAAGTAGATTTGAGGCCCAGAAATGGGTTAGAACTTACCAAAGGTCACACAGCAGGTATAAGTAGGTAGAACAGCAGGCAAGTAAGGAGAGGGAGGCAAATGGGCATATGAGTAGAGGTCAGGGCTGAGGTATTGAGCTGAATCCAAGGACAGACAGCTGAACAAGAAGATCTTCAGCTGACATTGCCCCATTTTCCATGCCCAGCAGGGCCTGACATTTGCCTGTCTTTGGAACTGCTCTTTCTGGGTTCCTGAGTTTGTGATTAGTTTCCCAAGAATGCTAGGTAAATATCTTTGTTGTTTGCTGAATAACCAGCCCCAAAGATTGGACAGGGGTCCCCATATAAATGTTGCCTCCAGATTGGCTCCCTCTATAGAGATGATCAGCTCCCCTAGGCAACGCCCCACCCAGGTGCTCCTCACAGGGTCCTCTATTGGGGCCTTGCTGGGGGCTCTGAACCCCACCACATGGAGTGGCTTTGGTGTGCATCATGTGGCTAAGGGCTCAGCACCTTCTTTGAAGACAGTCTATTCCTCCCAGCCACCCCGTAAAAAGTATGCAGTATTTTCTGTTCAGTACCTTTCTTCCCAAAAAAGATAGCCAGACATGGGTTGTTGCCATTCCAATGTGATAAGGAATCTTGCTGACCTTTGGAAATGTCCTGGGCTCATGGTAACCCCAATTATGGGGAAACTGGAGGTGCTGGGGTCAGCATATTGTGCTACTTGATAATTCTTTTTTTAGGTTATATGTTCTTTGTTTGTATAGTTCTGCTCTCTCTATCCCCACCTGCTGCCTCCTGCCCCCTGTCCCTCATCTTCAGGAAGCAGAAATGTGTTCTCATGGACAAAGCCTGTCTTCTCTCTGTTTAAGCTCATATGTCCCAGGCTCCCTACCTCCCTTCAGAGTTCATATGTGAACACCTTTGCCCATCTCCAGTAGGACATCGTCTAGTTTAGACAGCCACCTGAATGTAGGGGCTTTATTAATTGATTTCTCAAGCTGTCCATTTCAAGGATACTCTAATTTTGTCATCTGGGAGTCAGTAATGCCACAATTCTGAATTTGTAAGTTTCTGTAACCCATATTTTACCATGCTGGAATTCTGTGATGCTAAGATTCCATAACTGTGAACTCTATGAATCTAGAATTTCATGATTTTTAAAAATTGTGTTTAATGAATTTTGTTGTACACATGGTAACAGTAGCCAGCACTCTCTTGGCCTTGGTTTTGTGTTTATTTTTTAGAAGTTGCAAGTCTCAGTTCCAGGCTCTCTTCTCTGGGCATGCTGGTGCAGAGGAAAATCATTCCCACCCCTCCCAAGGCTCAGTGGGTGGGATAGTGCCCAGGGAAGCTCAATCCTAGGGCCCAGCACTCAGTCCACTCCCTCTTTCCTGAAAATCCTTACTTGGGTTTCAGTACCCGAGGGTAGCAGGAAAAGCAGTCTCCTTTGCAGTCCTTCCACCCAACTTCCTTCCCTCTTTGCCCTGCCCCAGGATCCAGGGAGAGAAAGTTTTGTGGGAGACTGACCTGCCTGATGAGTAGGTGGGGGAGAGAGGGTTAAGCACTGGGCAGAGAGCCAGTGGAGGAGCCAGGGGAAATTCCCTGGGGAGCCCTGCAGCCTTCCCCAGAGGTGAGGAAGGAACAGAGGCCGGAAGTGGGGGTGTGGGTGAGGGCACTAGTAAGGGTGGGGTGACCGGTATTGCATTGTGGGGTTGGAGCTGGGCTTCCGGCCATTGACCTATTAGTGACAAGGGACCTCTAGCCTGGCGCCCCAGGGACTGTCTGGTCGTTTCCGTCCTTACCCATTGACTCTGTGTTCCTGTGCCTGAATCAGACTCCCAGGAAAATCTGGAGGACAGGAGTTGGGGTCTGAGGAACCTGACTCAACAGCAGGGCTGCAGAGTCCAAGAGAGGCGCCAGGACATTCCAAGGATCACACCAGGGCTTGGGGCAGAACAGTGACTGAAGCTCGGGCTCCTGTCCAAAGCTATTCTCTTCATAATCCAAAGGGTCCCAGAATTATAAAATGCTCCCACAATAGACAGTTGGTGAAACCCAGGGCTAGAGGAAGGGCCCCCGCGCTAGGCTGCCTCTTTCTTTCAGTCCTGCAGCACAGCACACGGCTGAAGCTGCCAAACCAGATTTTCCAGTGGCTGCCTGAGGCTGGCTGGAGCGGGAAGCCCTCCTCCTGGCACGAACTCACAGCTCATGTCCTTCTCCCCCTCACCTCCTGATTCCTTGGCCTGGCCTTCTCCTCCTGCACCTGTGCCAACTGCCCCAGTGTGTCACCATTTCCTTCTCCACCTGCCTGCTATCTCCCCTGGGCTGCTCCCCAGGAACTGTGAGGTGTGATCCAGAGCTGCCCATCTCTGAGCCTCAGTTTTTCTCATCTATAGATGGGGAACAATGGCCTGCCTCCCAGGGGTTAACCACAAGAAGATTCCAAAGAAAAGTAAGGTCGTGGGGGCAAAGTAGCTCACCTCACGTCTGTATTCCCAACACTTTGGGACGCTGAGGCGGGAGGATCACTTGAGCCCAAGAGCTGGAGTGCAGTGGTGTGATCTC